CAGGGAATATTAGCTATGAATTTTGATTATTTAAACGTTATTGGAAAAAGCGTAGTGACAATCAAAGGTTGATCCCCCTATGTTTCCGCGCGTTGATACATCTCTCCAGCCTGTACCGGCTTAAAAACCGGCTCAAGAATTCCAGTCAAATTAATTTTTGAAAAAGCTGCATTGAACAAACCCCACTTTATTCGTCACCTATCGTTTCGGCTATCTTTTGGCAGTTACAAACACAGGGAAATCTTTCAAATATCAACCATCACCGCTTTACTTGAGATAAGATTATTTGAGAAATCTCACCAATCAGTTAGATTACCTAAATTAGCCGTATTTTTCAGGCAGAGGTTGCGAAAACTGAATATGAAATGCCCAAGTAATCCAGTTCTTATAGAATGAGAATGAAAAACAAGAATCGTATTGTCTTTGCTCGACATTTTCCATAATTGTTTGATATTTCTTTGTTGGATGAGATTATTTAGTCATAAATAAAGTAATTCCATAAATCGCTTCAGTTGCGCCAAGACGCTGCTATTATCACCTTTAAGATTCCAATCTCGTCCTGCAAATACGCTCAATCAGCGAGTATCAGGTATTTGCAAACTCGTGAGGATGGCGCGACCGCGACACGCACGCCTCTTCTGGAAATCGTATTTTCTTGACTTTCATCCTTAGTCGTTTGGTTATTTTTTGCGCATGTATGATAATATTTAAATACTGGAAGTGACTGAGCTGAACGTTGACAGATACATTCTTGTATGAGCGTTTTATGCTTCTGTGGGCGCAAAGTCCGCAGTAAATTCCGTCGTCACGATTTCTTAAATGAACTATGCAGTCGAATCATTTCAATCATGTGCGTCATTGCACACGTTGTGCACCTTTAGCGTTCCCATCCTGGATTCTTGGATGAGACATTTCTTTTTGTAAGTGTTTTTGATGTGTTCTCTATGTTTTCTTTCCTTTTTGGATACTAAGCACTTCAAAATGATGTAAGCGAAACAACTGGTCAGTCTATTGCGTTTGCGATTGCAAGTTTAGCATGCCAAGGATGGATGGTGTGTGCAATGCACAACGATCATATGAGATGACTCGACTATTTGATCCTATGACTGTCTTAACTATGATCGAATATACCTCAATACCTAATATACCTCAGCACCATTCATGCTCTAATTTGTAAAGCGCTATTCAGCGTATTCTTCAAACTGAGTAGTGAGGAGGCTACAGAATATGCTAATTTGTTCTGTGCAACTCGAGCGCTTCACTAAGCTATACTGCAGTACCTTCTTTTCGTCTTCTGCCGCAATTAACACTTCTTCTGGCAAAACCATTTACGCTACAGTGCCAGCTAGAGATGTAAACGGACATTATCTTTATAGAAAACAGGTCTAGACATTATTTGGATATATAATCAAATAGTACTCAAAACTTTTCCATCATTTGTGAGCCATCACAGTCGTCGTATGCAAAGCTTGTTCAGGTGTGACAAACAAGATAAACAACTGCGGATAACAAAGAATAAGACAGGGGTGCGTCGTTGAACTAGTGCTTCTCATTCTCTTTGAAAGTCCAAATTTCTCATTAAGTGGCACAAAACTAGCAAAAGCTGTACAAAATAGCTGAAAGTATGTGATCAAATTTGTATCAAGTATATCGACTACATTGAAGGAAACAGCCTGTGGAAATTCGCTTAGGTGTTTTTGTACGGCTTTTCGCTAATCTTATGCCACTCAAGGCTGACAAGTATGGACATAGAACCACTCATTCCTCTCGGAAAGTTTTTCTGCAAAAAGGAAGACAGATCTAAGTTCAGGATGCTTTTCAAAGCGTGCAGTTGTGATGCGAAAAGGCTTCCCTCGTCAGATTTAGATGGTGTAAAACTGACGTCACATTATATGCAAATCAATGCTATAACGTCAGACTGTATGCTTTATTTTGAAATTACTAAAGCGTGCAACTCTTGTATTTCTTTTTGCGGGATCAAACATCCGACAAATTCGCTTTTTAGTTTCAATAAGTCTTCTCGTCTTCATTCAGGCTGAAGAATGACACTACAAGATGGGCAGTGAAATCCTCCAGGTCACCCTGAGTGAAACTGCATTCATAGGAACAGTAACATGCGTGGTAAGTGGTGCACAAGTATGTAGACCTTCTTCTATCTACTAAACTCGCCTTTTCGGCAATTTCGAAAGTATCAAAGGTTCATGTGCATTATCTGAGGCACACTAAGGTAAAAGCACTACCATGCCGTCAGTAACTGGAGGAAGGTAAAGTGGTTTTTTTTTCAAAAGTGCAAACGTGCCCGGTGGAGGTGGCTATTAATTGATCCATTTGAAGACCCAGGCAGATTTGTACAAGTAGGGATCGCACTTGAGAACTGATTATGTGGACTTGAGCCCGTATGCACTCATGCCTGCGGCGAGAGGAGCGGCGTCCCCACTGAATAAAATGCCGCAGTAGCGTCCGCGCGCGGCCACTTTGCCAAGGGGAACGTCGCTTCCCTCGCATGCATGCTAGGGTTGTTTCAGACTGCCGCACTGATGCACTGACTGCAGCAGACTCCAACAAACTGCAGCAGACTGCAGCTGACAGCATTAACCGTCGGATCGCACAGCTCGCTACATCCTTTCGTGAAGGTGGAAAGGACAAATAGTTGTAGCTCAAAGAGTCTCTTAACAGTAGACAACACGAGCGGGAGTAAAATAGATACATGCAATGACCTAAGGAATCAAAAAAATATGAGCATATTGAAGAAAAACAATCGCCAAAATTTGATTGAGAAGAGTAAGTCAGAACCTATGACTTTCTAGATGTAAATCACGGTGTTTTGATGTACTCGCAACTATTTTCTCTTTTACGAAAGGATGCAGCGATTTTGCGGTCAGTGAGGTCAGCTGCAGTCTGCTGCAGTCAGTGCGGCAGTATGAAACAACCCTTGGTGTACAGCGGCCGTAATTTAGACCCGTATGCCCCTACATGTCCCAGGGAGGGGAGAGGATCCAAAGTGGGGAGGGGGGGCATATCTCGCTTCTCTACATATCTGCATTCTCTATGTCTGTGCTATAGAGGTGCTTTGGATGGCAAGATATTGCCCTATAAGCTGAGATTTTCATTGTTTTGTGTGATCCCCTGGGGATGCCAGGAAATTACTTCACATTCTCGAAGTCAATCATTTTCCTATAAACTCGATGAAATGCATTGAAATTGTTTTGAAGATATAAGTAAGGCACCGCTAAACATCTTTATAGTAGAAGTAAGTGAAATCTCATCTCATGACATCGAAATTTTCGACGAACTGCTGTTCACGAGCTAAGGTTCATCGGAAAATCACTACCCGCACAATCCATACGTTTTGTCCGAAAACATCTCTGGCAGTGCTGGACAGAAATGTGACTGTGAAAACAAGGATTGATCCTTTGGGTACCCCAGGATATCGCACGAAACAGTGGAAATTTCAGCTCGTATGGCAATTTTTTACCATTTATTACACTCAATTATCAGGGTGCAAAAACTTTTATAACATAGACAGAAAGAAGGGTACAGATATCTAGAGTAGCGAAATATGACGCGTTCCCTCTCAGATTCCCTCTCCTCCCCGTGTATGTACGTGCATGCGGGACTTACAAGGGAAGGATAGTTGGATGCCGCGGCCATTCCTAATGATTTGTATACCAAAAAATGCGCCTTCGAATGCAGATTCTGAATCTGTGCTCGAAATCTGCGAAACGATCTTTTGAAGAAAGTTATGAACTTTTTTCTTTGAAAATTTAGCCTACTTTTGGATAGTAAAAATCACCAGATTTGATCTAGCCTACCGTTTGATGCTACTGAAGAAAATTTTAGACGTAGTAATATTTATTTAGACTATCAGGATCATACCCAGCATTTGGAAAGGAGAGAAAATTTTTTTATTGATGATTACCCTCCGCAGGAACGCAATTTTTTTTAATGAAAAAAAAATCATAACTCCATTCAGATTATCGTTTCGCAGATATGAAAGACAGTGTACGAACCAGCATTCAAAAGCGCATTTTTTGGTATACAAATCATTATGAATGGCTACGGCATCCAAGTATCCTTCCCCTGTTAGAGTTTAGAGCAAATAAATTCTAATTGACGCGCATGCAGAGTTTGCACTAATTTACTGCCGGTTTATCATTGCGTAGCTCAAGCGAATTCAGCTGGCACATCTCCAAAAAATTAATCCAAAGGTAAAATCTGGGCCTCTAACTTGGTATTTTTGCCTGCGACAGTTCCTATAGGATTAGGGAAATGTACAAATTAGCATGATGCGTTATATGTTGCAGAGGTTTGAAACTTGTCGATTTTGAGTGTAGATATACCATTTCTTATCGGCATAATACACGTTTGTTCACGCAACGGGAAATGTGTGCTTGTTAAACCTGTTCATATGCGCAGTCGGTGATGTTTGTCAACATGATAATCAAGAGCTGGACCGCCACCACCTTACTCAAACATTTATGTTTTGAGAGGTTTAACACAAATTTTTTTTCCTTTCACAGTTGCTGCTACCCCTGGTCTGCGTCTTAGATCTGCCACATGTGGCTAACATGTTGGCAAAGTTGGCAACACATGTCTGCAACGTGTAGCAACATGTTGGCAGAACGTTTTGGGTATTAGCCTCAACGCCGACATGTTGCTGCATGCCGCAAACATGTTGTTGCCAACTTGCCAACATATTAGCCATACGTGGCAGGTCTGAGACGCAGACCAAGGGTAGAGCAGCTGTAGAGGAGACGATAAACGCCTGTGTAGGGTCTGCTAGATAATCTGGCAAAACCAAAATTATACATACTTGACTGTTTGAAAAATGCAATGACTGAAAGCGCCGAATTGTTTCGTTAGTTGTGAAACAGATTTGATTCATTTGCAGGAACTCAGTAGTGAGCGCACCGGTTACGAAAAACCGCCTACATTCTCTTCTTTAGGTTGCAGCTGTTGGGCTATTTGTGAACATCAGTGTGATTAGATCCCTTTTTCGTATGCCAACATTTCGCAACGCCTTCTTCTACATTTGCATTTTCCATCTAATCTCTAACTGTGTTGAATTTTCGCTCAACTTACTTTGGACTGGACCAGCAACATTTTTGTAAGCAACATAACTGCGTATTTTTCCACCGAAAAGTGATATGCAGTGAATTTCTTGTATTTCACAGAAACTTGGATAACTCAGTAACCAACTCCTTCATTGGATCACGGATCGCCCAGATCGCCCTTGTGTTTTGGATCACTTCCATATACAGTCAACTCCAAATAGCGATCAATCGCCTGATAGCAATTGCATTTCCGATGCTGTACGGGTGAGAATCATTTTTTCCGCATAGTTTCACACGTACAGTCGTTTTCAATAAGTATTGGTTTTTTCTACCGTGTGCCTTCCAGCCTCAACATGACGTGGATTGGTGTGGATTGGTGCGGCGCCGCCGAGAAAAGCAACGCGGTGCAAACCCGAAGCCATGCGGCACCTCACCAATCCATACCAATCTACACCAATCCACAACAATCCACGTCATGTTGAGGATGGAAGGCATACGGTAGAAAAAACCAATACGTATTGAAAACAACTGTATAATGAATGTATAAATTAGTTGTGTAATTTTTAGCAGAATATTTGTGGGAAGGAAATTACTATACTTTATGAGTTTATTCTGGGTGTTGACGCTTTGTCATGCTGCACTTTTTTCTTGGGGTAAGCTTTTAATCAAGGCAAATATATTTATAAGCTCACTGTGTTGGGATGTAATCCGGTAAGAGGTCAATAATTTTAGCACAGCGTCAATCTGCAAACAATTATGAACAGGGCCCGGCACGAGGTGGGCAAACGGGGTTTTCCAAAACGAATTCCCCTTTGATCCCAATAAATTTTACGAGTACCCCCTTGAGCCCAAAAATGACGTTTCGTGCTTGTGCGACGAGATCACCGGCCACATTTCGCCTAAAAGCGCTCAAAAGCGCCCAAATTGCTCAAATTCCTCAAATTATTCCTCAGCTGTATCAAAATAGAAAACAGGAAGAAAAATAAGCAAGAAAAATGATTAAAGAATGAGAAAATATCAAAGAAACGCAGTCATAGGAATGAAAGACGCCGTTCCCGCGCGTATCGATTGACTGGGGCGCGCTTTCTATCTTAGGCTGCGTTCATACTGATTCCCATGTTCTGGAACTGTTCCAGCACAGTTCTCGCACTGTGCTGAAACTGTGCGGGAACTGTGCCGGAACAGTTCCAGAACTGTGCTGCATGCGCTGCAGCCGCCCCGCACCGTTTTGAACGGCGGAAGTTGAAGAATTTTGACCTTTCTCAACGGTTTCTTCCAGATTTCGCTCATTTTGGTTTAATCCTCCACCCCGCTTCCCTTTTTGATCAGCAGCACTGCGAACTCGAAGCGGGGTTGAAGAATGAGCGCTTTTCTGCGCCTTGTATTCGGAAAGATGGGCTATCGTGCGATTGTTCATTCTGTCTTCTTGTTTTTTGCTCAAAACTACTTCATTTGTTCCAGGAAGCGACTGCCCAGTTTCCATAGCCATCTGCCACAAATTAGGGAGTAGGAGAAATCCTGAAATTGCAGAGTTGGGACTTGTCTCTTGTTTTTCATGATTATGAGCGTTCTTAGCTTTGTTCGTTTTTCCATGTCGTTGCTTCTCCGTTCTTTCTTCTACCCCGCTTCTCCTAGTGATGAGAAAAGCTGTGAATTCGAAGCGGGGTTGAGGATTGAACGCTGTTCTGCTCCATGTATCCGGGAATATGGGCCTTCGTGCGCTCGTCCATTCTCTCATCGCTATTTTTGCTCAAAACTACTTCATTTGTTGCATTTCCAATCTTTGTATTTGTTCCTTTCTGTTTCGACAGGACTTCGATTCATATATGTGAAATCAATATCTTCGATATGGCATATTCTTTGGTTATTCCATATATTCTATAAAGTACAAGACAATATGCCAAGAATGCCGACGAATACCAAGAGTAAAATGAAATTACTTGCAAGATTTCACGCTTATATAGACACTTCATCGGCATTTATCATTATCACTCGAAAAGTTGATTTAACACCACTCTTCGTCGAGAGTGGTGCAAAATAAAAGAATGTAGACTTAGATCGGTGTGAAAACATACAAAAGTCCATTCAAAAGATTCGCCTTTCAAAACTGGTCACAAATTTGTTTTCCCCTTCTTTGTATCTCCACTTCAAGTCTTTTAAACTTAGACTTTTCCTTTAACGAATTCCTGAGCACAAAAGGCAAAACCCAGGCTCAGCGTAAGGGGCGGAGCTTGGAAGGTTGCCAGATCCTTCTTGGCACGCAACCAGCTCCTCCCCTTTCCATCTTGGATACAGAGGTCAATGGCTCTAGTTCCTCCTGCACCGCCGCCTGCCACTGAATTAGGGAGTAGGAGAAATCCTGAAATTGCATGAGTTGGGACATGCCTCTTGTTTTTCATGATTTTGGGCGTTCTTAGCCTTGTTCGTTTCTCCATGTCGTTGCTTCTCCGTTCTTTCTTCTACCCCGCTTCTCCTAGTGATGAGAAAAGCTGTGAATTTGAAGCGGGGTTGAGGATTGACCGCTGTTCTGCTCCATGTATCCGGGAATATGCGCCTTCGTGCGCTCGTCCATTCTCTCATCGCTATTTTTGTTCAGACCTACTTCATGTGTTCTAGAGACTTGTCTATTTCAATTTAAATACAGATGCGAGACTACGCAGCGACTTGTTATTACACATGAATAGGTTGAACAAAAATAGCGATGAGAGAATGGACGAGCGCACGAAGGCCCATATTCCCGGATACATGGAGCAGAACAGCGTTCAATCCTCAACCCCGCTTCAAATTCACAGCTTTTCTCATCACTAGTAGAAGCGGGGTAGAAGAAAGAACGGAGAAGCAACGACACGAGGGAAAAACGAACAAGGCTAAGAACGCCCAAAATCATGGAAAACAACAGACAAGTCCCAACTCATGCAATTTCAGGATTTCTCCTACTCCTTAATTTGTGGCAGATGGCTAAGGAAACTGGGCAGCCGCTTCCTGGAACAAATGAAGTAGTTTTGAGCAAAAAACAAGAAGACAGAATGAACAATCGCACGATAGCCCATCTTTCCGAATACACGGCGCAGAAAAGCGCTCATTCTTCAACCCCGCTTCGAGTTCGCAGTGCTGCTGATCAAAAAGGGAAGCGGGGTGGAGGATTAAGGCCATGAGCGAAATCTGGAAGAAAAACCGTTGAGAACGGTCAAAATTCTCCAACTCCCGCCGTTCAAAACGGTGCGGAGCGGCTGCAGCGCATGCAGCACAGTTTTGGAACTGTTCCCGCACAGTTCCCGCACAGTTCCCGCACAGTTTCAACACAGTGCGAGAACTGTGCGGTAACAGTTCCAGAACATGGGAATCAGTATGAACGCAGCCTTAGAAAACTAGGCTGCTGATGCGATTTTGGGCTCTAACAAGGACAAGAGGAGGAGTTTCGGAACCAAAATTTCACCATGTAGTAAACTTTAGATGTACAACAGATTTATGTAAAAATTTTGAAAAAATTATGTGAATTGAGAGTTTTGCCGACCTCAGGTGGGAATTAGGTCGGCAAATGCCGACCTAATTTGGAAATTAGTTAAGCACGCTCTTCATTCACATAAGTTTTTCATAATATTTCATACTTTATCACTTAGTCCTATTGCGCATATACACACCGAAACCCGCGCGATTTCGTTACCTCTGCGTTGCAAACGAGCCATTTTTCCATTTCTTTGGTAGCGCAAAATTTTCAGAAAAAAGTTTGCCACAACCTTCAGTCACATAATTTTTCAATGAAACTCCTCAGTTAAGCCCTGCAAGCCCGTGTGCATGTACTTACCAAGTTTCATACCATATCGTTCATCTGCGCGTTGCAAACGAGCCATTTGAATTCAAATCTTCATTTACCAATTTTGCAAAATTTTCGGAAAAAATGCTTATTACTCGTTCCGTTCACATAAGTTTTTCATATTTTTTCATACTTTAATTCCACTAACCTCTCTCCGTTCGCTTACAAAATTTGGTGCCATATCGTTACACATACATTGAGAACTAGTCATGTATGCAGTTACAAATAGCATCGCTTGGGCGACGTCGCGCGTGCGGCAATTAGCGACGGCGCGGTTTGACGCGCGCGAACTCCAGTGTTCGCCTGTTGAGGCACATAGCATGTCAAGATAAGTAGCGAGCATGAACTACCAATTTTTTTCCGGGGCTCCGCCCCGGACCCCGCAAGAACTACCCCTTTGCTTTTTGGCCCAGAAACGATTTCCAGCTTGTCATTTGCCGACCTCGTGCCGGGCCCTGATTATGAATTTTTGGTATAATTGTGAGAATGAGATGTGGGGCACGTTTAGAGAAGTCATCATCAAATTGAATGTGAAGTCAGCCGTGCCCGATCTGAGGATTGTATTGTAGGTACTGAGGACGAAAGGGTCATGATCAAGAATCAAATTATTTCAGTAATCAAAGGAATACTACGATCGAGCACGATAAAAAAAAAGCGTTAGACTTAAATACCATAGCTCCACCAGAACTGAAGGAATGACGGTCGCAAATAGCATACTGATTTCACCACTGAAGTTTCAAAAAAAATTCAAGTCTTTATTTTTTATGCTAGAATACCGTAAGGTCACCACAGATGCTTGCTGTCCAAGTTGGGTATGACTTCCGTACATGTCATATTACCTCAATGAGCTCTACAAATATTACTTACATTTTTTAGTGTTTTTTGACTTCTAAACAGCGTGATTTTTAAACATGATTAACTTGATCTCAAAAGGAAAGAAGTCAGTTTTTGTATTATAACAAATTAATATTTTTATCAGTCTATGCTAACAATCAATAAGACTTCATATCGCTTTCAAATAGTGGATTGAGAAGTGCTGCCAAAATTTCAGCCACCGCGTTTTTCACACTGAGTGCTTCAACGCCTTGCATTACCGCAAAGCCGAACAACTCGAAGTAAGCTAAAGTACCCATTGTGCATATTCGGTGTCCTAATATATCACATAAATCTAGGTGAAAAAGCTACTTGGAGATGAAATTAATAGGGTCAGTCACAACCTCTCAAAAGGTCAGGCTGCCCGAGTTTTATAGCCTTGTGCCTGAAACTTGCCTCCAAATTCTAGATGCCGACTCATTTCTAGTACGCGTACAGAGCTCATAACCCCCTCTTGTTAAAACGGAGATTTAAAGACAAATATTACATTGGAGGAAATTATGACTCTTTCAATAGGCCCATTCGAAGCGAAACCGTTAAAATGCGTGTGATTGCTAGGTGCAATCACAGAAGATCGGGTCTACAAAATGAAATTCAAACTGCTTAGGACAAGTTGATGTTTTTTAAAATGTCCCAATCTAAGGCTTTGGAGGTGACGAGGAGGAAGAAGGGGACGTTTGGGAGCTTTCAAGTAGGAGGGGGGAGGCTGGCTCGTTTTCGAGCGAATTATGCATGGCTCTCTGCTCAACTCTGGACATCAGTTTGAACGTGAAGTGAAAGTTTTGTTATCTTTGAAGGCTCCACGTAAATAAAATCAACTCATGCGATTATGTTAATAAAAATGTTATTTCATTGTTATTAAAAATTGTATTTCGCTTACACATTTTTCTCGCAATGAAAAAACAATTCTACAACTACTGACCGTCAAATCTTGCCATCGAACGGCTGCTCGACTTCCCCCATGCCGTGCTTCATCTTCGGCCGCCACCTACCTCATTCTTTGACCCCGATCTGCCTCCTCCCCACCT